ATGTTCTTTTCCACACACTAGGCATACAAAGTAAGCAATTTATATGAAGAAAACGCATTAGATAAGAAAATAGCTACACCCTCCTCTCAAAAACTGACCTACAGAATTGAGATACATTTGTGTAATTCTCTATTACACAGTTGTATGAGTTGTTATCCTGCAAAAAGGAGCACATTTCATGTCGTTTATTTCGGAGTCCTTGTATATTATAATGCAATACTTTAAGGTAATCAGTCACCTCTCTTTGTGAATCAGTATTACAAACAGCACGTACACCAGTAACGCCAAATTTTAAACGATTAACATTACAATTATCATCATCAACATTAGTTACATAATTTTTATCACTGACTGACCAATGTGAAAATACGTATCATTGCATTGAATTGACTTTAAATTACAACCCTTACTTAACTTATAGTTTTGACGTTTTTTAATGTGTGCGAATAGTTTTCGTTTACCTTTAGAATTTAAGTGAAGTCCGTGTTTAGTTTTATCACCCACATGTAAAAAGGAATTGACATCAACAAAACAATCAACATTTTTAATTGTATCCTTAAAAAAATCAAACATTCTATTGTTATGTTCATAGATTTTCTCATTTAAACTGTGTTTACCATACCAGTAAGGAACCGACACATAAATTAAAGTACAACGGTTGTATAAATATTTAGTTTTATCATATACATCCTTTGAAACTTTAGTGTCACTCAAAACGTCATTGGTACCAGCCATAATTATGGCATAATCATGTTGATTATAGTTAGAGAAAAGTTTTTCAGCATCTTCTAGAACATTCATTCGAAGTTGAGTTCATAGAGGCGAAAGACTGCAACTAAGTACACTCTGTGTTTAATTTATGAATTTTTTAATTTAAATCAAAGTGTATTTCAAAGTTCATAACAAATATGACGAATAGAATCCTGTGTTCCGGTGTAATTTGTTGATATTGTGAGTAAATCTCGCGTTTTATTTCTAGGTACTATTAATCTCGAGTCTGTAAGGTACAAGTTCGGCTTGAGACCGGTTCTTTTCCTTCTCTTCCGAACTCTGTCAACTTTTGGATCTTCGATACGGCGAATTTAATTTGTGGTTTAAAAATTGGTGGTTTAGAAAAATGGATACTCAGCTCTAAACGTAGATAATTTGAAGCTTGTTGAGCTACGTAACATATTGTGTCAATTGGGAGGCGATACGACCGGCAATAAAAATGACTTAAAGAATAAATTGAACCTAATTTTANCCTTCCTCTCCTTGCTGATTTGGCATTTTATTTTAATCCTCGTCGCCAATGTAATGGTTTATAATAAACACTTCGATTTGTAATAAACTAAACTTTATTCTCACTTAATTTCATGTCTTTTTACCATCTTGGTCCTTGACGCTTTTGTAACGACTCCTTCTTCTAATACTCGTGATCACCCAAACCTGTTTGCAGTCATGCGCATTCAAGTTCTCTATACATTACACCAATAATAAAATAGTTTAAAAGAATGAGTCTCAAGTGGTCTGAAAGTGTTATGATGATTTTTTTGGAACTATATCATAAGCATGATTGTCTTTGGAACCACCGAACGGATAAATATAAAAATAAAGATGCACGACAAAATGCTTTGGGTTCTATTGTCAAGGAAATGGAAATTTCTGGTCTTACTATTGCTGATCTGAAGAACAAAATCAAGACTATTAGAACGATGTATAAAAAAGAACATTCATTGGTTTGCAAATCAATAAAAAGTGGAATGGGAACAGAGGAACTGTACGTGCCAAAATTATTTTGGTATAAAAGAGCAGATATATTTCTAAACGGTGTTACAAATACAAGAGTCACTTCATCAAATTTAGTAAGTATACTTTTCATTCTTTATTTTTTTTACATTAACTATTAATTATTCATCGTCGGGTATCATATTCAGTTGCCAGGGCACAGCACCATGTCCGGAAAAATATTCGGCATATTCATCACGCACATGAGACGCTAATGTTGTGTAGTTGCGACTTCCTAAATTAACTTGCAAATCAACTAAACCATTGGCTTCAGTACTTTGTGTTCTCCAAGAACCTAGTATAATTTGCCTGGTGTTCAGATCCTCATTATCATAAGAGCCTGTTGGTGTATATTTTTCACCAGAACTCATTTTTAGCCAATTATGTATTGCTAAAGCTGCTTTAACAATTGCGTCCACATTGGTAATTCTAACCGCTATAGGTCGTTCAAAGACTCTGAATCTAGAAACCAAAATTCCAAATGCATTTTCAACAATGCGACGAGCTCTTGATAAGCGATAGTTGAATATTTTTTGTTTTCTAGATAGATTAGTACTTCTTTCAAATGGTTTTAAAATGTAGGTTCTTAAGGGGAAAGCATTGTCAGCTACAAATACTCCACCTTTTGGAAAATTCAACTTATTCCTAATATCTTCTAATGCTGCATTGAAAGAAGATTTTGCAAATACGGCAGCATCATTTGCTCGTCCATTTGTGCCTATATCGAAATAGCGAAAACAATAGTTTGCGTCAACGCACGCAAACAAAATTAAGCTATTGTAATTAAGCCTTTGTAATTAAAATACTCTGATCCACTGTGAGGGGTATTTCGTATCACGACATGCTTTCCATCTAACGCACCACAACAGTTAGGAAAATTCCATCGAAAGTAGTATTCCCTTTGAATTGTCTTCCATTCGTCGTCATTTTGTGGCACCTGTAACAAAAAAAAATATTTTTTCATGTTGCTGCATATTTAATACATGTTTTAATAATATGAAGTATATTAATATAGTTCTATTTCTCTTTTAGAATTTACAACCTGATGACGCTGAAAACGAAACCATCGAAAATGAAGCAGAAACCCAAGATGAAAATGTATTTCCTGCATCAACATCTGCATCTGTTACTGTTGAAAATGGTTGACAGAAACTGCCAATCAGTCTACTAAAAAACAATCAAAGACAACAAATGTCTTTCGTGTTCCTCTGAGCCGTAAACGGAAAATATCTGGAAACGAAAATATTTCAACTATATGCGCAGCAATTGATTTGAAATACTTATGAAAATAAAATGAATTAAAAATATTTTTGTTTTTTATGAATAAAATGATTTAAAAAATATTTTTCTTGTTTTTTTTCTTACCTGTTGCCAAAAATCGAAGAGTAACTAAAAGCCGGTCTTTGGGAGGTATAGCCAATCTCATTTTAGTATCCTGCTTTTGAATACTTGTTTGAATTAAAGATAACATGTATTCAAAATCATCATTAGACATTCTCAGGAAATTTCAGCTGCATGGAGTCTTCGGTCCGCAGTTCTTCAAGTAATGTATTTTGGAAACTTAAATCTACGCGCCGCAGCACCCAATTTCTCACCCAAACACTTCTGTTTGTTTTTTTTTTTAATTTGTTTCTTTTTAATTAAATATGCTGCGATGGCAGCTGCCAATCTTATTTTGCCACAAGACATTTTTATACTGTCATTCGTAAAAAAAAGCAAACTACTGCAAGCTGTACTCACATTGTGTGGAAACACGTCTGCAATTTCTTGCAGCACGTTCGTCGTGATAACTTCTACAAACTACTTCTGGAAGCAGACTTCCGCAAGTTTCGGTTTGAGTGGAAACACTTCAGCAAATACTTGCAGAAGTTCTTCCGCAAGTGACTTGCTAGTGGACACACGGCTTTAGTTTGGTGGTGGTTGCGAATGAGTAGGGACGTACAGTTTAGCCACGATCGGCGAAGAAAATGGAAGAAATGGACGAGTCCGATATTGTAAGTTCATTGCTCATCAAGTGGAACTTGCCAGAGTTTATAGATGAATTCAAAGGTAAGAAAAAGGAATCATTTTTCTAGTTACAAATAACGGCAATTACGTTACTAAGTTAAACAAATTATTTAGACGCCACCCGTAAATATACCCGGAAACTTGAAATTATTCGTTTTAAATTCACGTCGCATCAGTGTTGGCTAGGTTACAGAATAGCGAAAGGGGAATATAACATACGCAAACATTTGAATCGGCGGCCTGAAAATGTTTAATAAAATATGCGTCTTATGTTAGATTCGAGTAAAGACTGTTTATGCGGTAGGTTTGCCGGCGCGACGCCGTGACGTCATCGACAAGAGTCAAGAAATTCGTTACAGTATTTTCTAGTTTTTTATTCATTCTCTTATGATTTTTAACATTTGTACGAAGAGAAAGAACATTTAATTTTTTAGATTAATATTGATTTTGAAAATATCCATGATGTTATGTTATTGTTTTACATACACAAACAATATACAGGGTGATTCACATAAGAACCGACACAGAACAGGGACATGTAGAGGACAATAAATTAAGATGATTTAACGTAACTTACCTCTATACTAAGTTGTACACCTCAGGAGTTATAGGCCTTCAAAGTTGGGTCTTAAATTTTTAAAAAGTTCAATATCTTCGTAATACATTAAGCTAGAAAAACCAAATTTGGTATACGTTATGAGTGTACCAAGGTGTGGCGAACATCTGGACGCCAGGGAACTTTGTAAACCGTTCAAAAAATCTCTCTCCGGTCATCTGGGCAGGACACCCTTTTGGCCCAGGCAAAGAGTTCCCGGAAAACTTTCACCGGAGATATTACTGGACGCTCTCCGTGGCAAACATCTGGTCGCCAGAAAGTGTTCGAAACTATTCAGAAGAACTCTCTCCGTACATCTGGACAGCAGATCCTTTTGGTCCAGACAAGGACTCCAAGAGAGCTTTCACCGGGGATGTTACTGGACTCGGGGATAAAAGGAACCAAGATCGGCCCGGAGAGTTCAGTCAGTTCAGTTACCATCAGTTGTCAGTTACCATCGGCAGATCAGTCAGCAGTTACCCTTTTCGCGTCCGCACTTACATTATTGTTATTATTGTTGTAAATAAAATTTTGTTGTTGAAGACATTGGTTTTCCTAAAACTTCCCCTCGCTACGGAACCCGAATAAATCAAAAATCAAGACGACGCTGCCGACGCCAAACGCTAGCACGATGGACCATCAACAGGACGTAAATGCGCAGGTACCACATATTAACCGTGTTGCGGTGAAGATTCCACCATTCTGGGACGCGGATCCGCAATTGTGGTTTATCAACGTGGAAACGCAGTTCGCTTTGGGACAGATCACCGCCGACGACACTAAGTACAACTACGTGGTGAGCTCATTAGACCCAAAATACTGGGCAGAAGTGCGGGACATTCTGTCCAACCCTCCGCCAACGGGCAAGTACGAAAAATTAAAATCCGAACTGATCCGCCGATTAAGCGCAACGCAGGACCAGAAAACGCGACGATTGCTGGAACACGAAGAAATCGGAGACCGGAAACCGTCACAATTTCTAAGGCATCTCCGAGCGTTGGCTGGTACCGTCATTCCCGACGACGTGTTACGACCCCTGTGGTGTGACCGGTTACCAACGTTCACACAGGCTATTCTAGCGTCTCAAAAACAGAAAATATTAGATGAGTTAGCGGATTTGGCGGACGCCGTGGCCGACGCGAACCCACGAGGCCGCGTCGAAGAGACCGCTACTGGTGTGCTACCCCTACAGGCGATGCTACAACAGATGGCGTCCAGATGGCAATCCGGACCTTCACGGCGCAATCGGTCAAAATCGCGTACACGGTACGACCAAAATGACAATAACGGCTTGTGCTGGTATCATGCGCGATTCGGGGACAGTGCTACGAAGTGCAAACCGCCATGTTCGCGTAATTCGGGAAACGGGACGGGCCGTCACTGACAGAGGCCGGTGATTGCGCCCAAACATTATCACGACGCCTCTTCGCGACCGATCGGAAAACCAAGACAGTATACCTGATAGACACCGGTGCCGATTTGTGTGTTTTTCCGCGAACGCGAGTAATCGGACGACGCCCGAGGTCATCCTTTAACCTTTACGCGGCAAACGATTCGGTAATCGCGACCTATGGGTACGAGACCCTTACTCTCGACCTAGGACTTCGCCGCGATTTCACGTGGCGTTTCATTGTCGCCGATGTGTGCAACCGACGGCTGGTGGACAGCGTAACATCGCTGAAAGTCGTAGACGGGTTTTGGCGGGCGGATTTATTTTTCACAATCTCCTCGCCGAATATCCCAAAATAATGAGACCTTCTGGAGTTCCGCAGGGGGTTAACCCGAAACACGGAGTGGAACACCATATCGATTTCGACAACTAAACCCCCAAAGGTACGAGGCTGCCAAAAGGGAGTTCGAGACCATGCTGTAGATGAAGATAATCCGTCCATCCAAAAGTAGTTGGTCATCGCCCCTGCACATGGTCCCCAAGAAAGGCGACCTTTGGAGGCTATGCGGAGATTACTGCGCATTAAACGCGAGAACGGTGCCAGACAATTATCCGATACCTCACATGCAAGACTTCTCGCATTTCCTACATGGGAAGAAAATCTTCACCACCATAGACCTGGTGCGTGCCTACAACCAAATTCCGGTCGCCCAGGAAGATATCCCAAAATTCACGTTCATGTCCTTTGGTCTTCGTAACGCGGCACAAATCTGCCAGAGACAAATGGACGAAGTTCTACGAGGTCTGGATTTCGCCTACGAGTATATCGACGATATCCTCATCGCCTCGGCCTCGGAAGAAGAGCACCTGGAACACCCGAAGCAGATTTTCCAACGCTTAAAGGAATACGGAATCCTGATAAACCCTGCGAAGTGCGTTTTCGGGAAACCGCAAGTAAATTTCCTGGGATTCAGCGTCGCCTGCGGAGGGGTACAACCTTTACCTGAAAGGATCCAGGCCATCAAGAATTACCCACGACCTAAGACGGCAAAGGAACTGCGGAGATTCATAGGAGCATTCAACTTCTCGAGGCAGGCCGTACCGAGAGCGGCCGAACTACAATCGCCCCTGAACGATTTGTTAAAGGGAAACCTAAAAGGGAAAGTACCAATAGTCTGGACGGAGGCAGCGGTTCAAGCTTTCGACGACTGCAAGGAAGCGTTGGCACAAGGTACCCTGTTGGCATACCCAGCACCGGATGTTCCGCTTGCCATTTCGTGCGACGCCTCCGATTTCGCCGTCGGAGCTGCCTTGGAACAACTAGTAGATGGAGTTTGGCAACCACTGGGTTTCTTCTCTAGAAAGTTGAGCGCCGCAGAAAGGAAATACGGTGCCTACGATAGAGAATTGCTAGCCATCTACAAAGCCATTCGATACTTTCGGCACATGGTGGAAGGGCGAACCAGTATATTTATAAATTGCGCGCGCAAATTTTATTGGAAACATATCCGGTATCTGATATAGGAGAGTGTAAAAACATAAATTCTGAAACGAATGTAGGGTATTTAGCTGGCATATTATTTAAAGAAACAACTCACTGTAACTATGATTGTGCGCCACGATATAAAAAGTTGTCAGTAATTCAAATAGAAGACACAAAAATTATGGACGGTACTAACTTTAATGAAGTTATCGCGCAAAGTTTACACCTATCCGATCACCGTTGCTGCACAGAATTTTGTGTTGGAATTGAAAAAACCACGCTGTCCGAAACAGGTGAGTATTTTATTATTATTATTATAGCCCTTTATTTCTACATTTTACATTTTATATTTTACACTAATACAACAAAAGGAGCATCTCATGCAACTCAAAGCAAAAACGAAGAAANTAAAATTTTGTGGATTGAGTTGATCACGATAGCGATGAATTAAATGTTCACATAGATCAATATAAAGGGGTAATATTATGGGGTTTCCGGTAAATTTTGGAATTACGTTAACTTCTGTAGTAGAAATTACTGAACAGGGATTAACAGCTCTAGCTGGTTGTATTGGTTGATTTAAAGCCATTGTAAGATTTAGAAAAACAAATTGGTCGGGAAAAAGATACCTTAATAACGAATTTAGATAGCAGTTTTACAAAAATAAATGAGGACAATAGTACAAAATCACTTAAAAATAATCTTAAAACTACTTACGCTAAAATTTTCATTCTTCTCTCTTGCGGTTGTTGCTTTGTTTCGTTTCCTTTTCGGTGTTGGCTCTGATACTAGTTGATACTTTCCCCGGGATGTTGTGTACCTCTTTGAGTACACTTCAGGATGTACGGGTACAAGCAGAACGGCTTCTCCCTTGTGGTTGAGTCGTGCCAATTTGAGGTCTGGACCCTTGGGTTAGCTTCCGTTACAGATCACTTTCACTTGTGTAGGTTCGCGTCACTAAGAATTAAAATTCACCAGTCCCAATTTTCTTCGATTAGTTTCGAGCACTGTTGACACGAAATAATCCTACTGACTGCGCCAGTTAAGGTTCTTTCAATAAAACCAAAGTTTTTAAAAAAAGAAACTTTAAACTAATTTATTAATTTATTTTTATTCAAACGACAGCGACATGCGACGGACTAAAACTAACTTAACTTAAAACGGCGTCGAGGTGTTTTATAACAAATGCTTATCGCTAACCCCTTCTCTAATGAGATGTCTGGTGGTGCGACATTCTTCCTTTATTTCTAGGAATTTAGCATAGATGATGCTCCATAACTCGCGATAAAAACATTTAATATAATTATTATAGCACACATTTCTTCCTTACATCTGTTTAATGACTAACGACAAAAAAAATTTTAACAACTGATCTCGACCAATAGAAAAGCAGAGGAGTTGTCATACCGATATATGCTATCCTTTTTTGAACTTTCGTTTCTCTTTCAACGAATTTATTCCCACGAAACGGTCGAACAGCCTTAATGTACTGGTGAAAAAAGCTTTGTACCCCAATGGCTTTTTCAAGAAATCTAAACAGGGGAATACCAGCCATTAAATGTTAACTTCGTACAGAAAACATAAAAAATTAGTTAAAAAATTCTAGATCGCCAGAATGTGACTTTCAGCGTCTTATAAAGTCACCGTCTTATAAAAGGGGTTGTTTCTCGGAAACCGTTGGGGTACAAAACTTTTTTTCACCGGTACATTAAGGTACAAAACTAGTACAATATTTTAGTGTACTAAAAGGTTCGTTTTTGACAAAAAATATCGGGGGCTGACATGTAGACAGCCCCCCATCACAAGAAACGTTATAGTTTAAAAACCGTAGGGGTATAAAAGTTTTCGTTGGTGGTACATTAGGGTACAAAACTTGTACAATACTTTAGCATAAAGATTTTTTATTTTTGGGTATGTGGGGGGGCTGCCTACATGGACCTACCCAAACTACGTTTGCAAGTATGTCAGTTGCGAAATTAGCGGTAACTAGAGACGAAAAAATTATAGTGAACCTAACTTATGGTTACCGAATTATTGCATTTTTATCTGTATTTACCTCAATTTCGGAATTAGTAATGTGTAAAATATGTAAAAAACAAATCAGTTTTGGTGAATCCAGTGTTTGTGGATTAGAATTTAAAATGTCGATGGAATGCCAATGCGGTGTTCAATATAAACTTTCTTCTCCTATGATTGAAAACAAACCGTACGACGTAACTAGAAGGTTAGTGTTAGTCATGAGATTATTAGGAGTTGCCAGAGAGGGGTTAAATTTATTTTGTGGTCTCATGGATTTATCGCAAGGGTTTAGTTCGACATTATACAATGCTGCTTTAGAAAGTATATAGATTGAATCAAAACCAGTATTTGATGTATTGAAGAAAAAGGCAGTGGAGAAGGTGAAATTCAAACGTGGAAGAATAGGGGCTTTAATTGATTATTTCGAATGGCAACTCTTATCGGAAAGTATAGTGGAAAAGTGATCGATCTTATAGTAAAATCGTCGTACTGTCGGGTTTGTCAACTATGGAAATCAAGATCTGGGACTGAGGAATATAATACTTGGATGGATGAACATGAACAGAATTGTTCGTCAACAAATCATGAAAGATTGGCTGGTAAGATGGAGGTGGATGCTATAAAAGAGATGTTTCAAAGATCTTGGAAGTGGTATGAAGCGACACTGCAACTTTTAAAGCCTTGTTGGCTATGAATCCTTATGGCGATAACTTTCCAAAAAAAAAAAAATAATGATGCATAGGTCACGTTGAAAAGCGCAGGGGCGCACGACTGAGAAACGTAAAAGAACATAAAAAACTTGGTGGAAAGAATAAGTTGACCGACAGATTAATAAAAGTACTAACGATTTACTATGGGTTAGCTATAACAAGACATCCACATTCTGTTGAAGATATGTATAATGTTGTATGGGCAAGCTACTACCATAAATTATCGTCAGACGAAAATCCGCAGCATATGTACAGCCCAATCGGACCAGAGAGTTGGTGTAAATGGCGTAACGCCGAAGCCAAGAGAATCTTCCCACTAATATTTCTCTTATAATGTATTCTAGAGTTAAGTTGAAAAGAGTCGGGACCAGCCCATCTTCTTGTTTCAGGCCTTGTGTTATTCTAAATGAGTCGGTGTATTCGGTTAGGGGTAAGGAGGAAAATTACCTATTTCGAAACCTTCAACAGATCCTGAGATAATACAGATCTAGTGAAGACGACTCAAGCAACGTAATAGGGCATCGCAATTTTAGCATTTTAACATATCAACCGTTTATTTAGAGTTTATTACAAGGGTTTTGCAAAATAACAAAAGAAACTCGCCAATTGTATGACTATCTATTTAATAAATAACATCAATTTACACGCAGCGATAATGAAGTAACATAAATTTTAGCGATAAATTAGTTTTGATTAAAAATGATATCGTCGAGCATATACGGGGCGTATCTGAATGACTGCAACAAACTTCAAGGGGTGATTCTTTAGTGAATTTTAAGGGT